CCTTCGGATGCGACCACAATTTTAGCTATGGAGTTACCTGATACGCTGCAGGAGGATTTTCGGTACTGGTCTGGTACCCCGTCCGGCCGGTACTCAGTGAAAACTGGTTATGCGATGCTACAACAACTCTCTCCCATTTTAACTAATTTGAGTATGGGTTCCTTTTGGAAAGTTCTTTGGTCTCTTCAGTTACAACCAAAATGGAAGTTGTTCTTATGGAAACTTCTACATCGCGCACTTGCAGTCAGGGTAGAACTTAGTCATAGAGGGGTTTCGATTCAAGATTTTTTTGTGACCTTTGTAGGTCAGAACCAGAGGAGTTGCAACATCTCTTCAGAATGTGTTTCAATGCTCGAACGGTTTGGAGGAGTGGATGCCTCGTCATTCGCTCAGATGGAGACCTTTCTCTCTCATATTTGATCCTACAGTATATCCGACTTTTTATTAGTCAGGATGGGCCTTCCAGTACTCGCTTAGGTACCTTCGTCGGTACACTTTGGAGTCTGTGGTTATGTCGAAACTCCAGAATCTTTCAGGAGTCTACTGCTTGCCGGCCTTTTTCTTTACAATTCGCGGACGTTATGAATGCTCATGCAATCTTTGTAAGCACGGATGCTCCTGTTTGTACCCCCTACGCAGTAGGGGGCGGTGGGGGGTGCCTCTCCTCCACCTGGTTTTTACATGGCTTAGTTGGATCAGGGTACTCAAGGCCCAAATGCACTTTCTCTACAAATTGATGGCTCTTGGTTTAAGGACTCTCTACAAGCAAGGATGGGTTGGTGCGTGGATAATGATGACCCGTTTGATGAACGTATCTTTGATGGAAGTAACTTTGGGGTTTGTACCTCTACTTTACATACGGAGGCACTGGCGTGCATGTATGGGTTACAGTGGGCTGTGGATCGAGGTTTTCAATCTGTAACGACATTCACTGACTCCTATAATCTTGTTTCCCTTCTTCGGGGGGGTGGTCATGGTAACATTGCTTAACTTTGGCTCATTCCCAAGATTATTCTGCTTGGTTCTACCTTTCGTTACTGTTGCATACACAAGGCGGACCGGCACCGGGTTCATCGAGCTCATCAAATAGATGGGGAAGCGTCGGTTAACTTTATTTGCTTTAATAGTAATAAATAGCCTGTTTGTATCCGTTGTTATATATATATATATATATATATACATATATATATATATACATATATATATATACATATATATATATATACATATATATATATACATATATATATATATATATATATATATATATATATTACACACACACACAAACGCTTCAAAGTTCAAACTATCTTCGGCCCAAATTCATTATTTAACACAAAGTCTTTGAAAATATATCTTAAATCAAAAAAAAAAAAAAAAAAAAAAACTTCAATAAATCCTCACATTGAAATCGTTTAAGTCCAAGTCCATGTAAATAGGTCTTAAAATAAACCATAAATCCAAACGCTTCAATATGTAAATTATTAGATTCGTAGTTCATTTTAAATTTTGCTCATTAGATCTTATTATAACTTTTTGGTTGTCTGATTTTAATATATATATATATATATATATATATATATATATATATATATATATTAGGCTAAAGTCGTAATCACCTAATCAAAAATAATTCCCAAGTCCTCTAACTATGCATATAAGGAATAAGGGTCGAACCACAGGGAAACAAATTAATTTATTCCTTATTAATTAAGAGTAATCTAAATTATCAAGTAACCAATTTGTTGTTGTAAAAAGGAACTATACTACGGAGATCAAGTTTAAGTAGAAAATCATTAGTAAGGAAGCCTAGGGTCACAGATTCACCAATATTTAATAATTCGGGATAAAGCATAACGACAAATAATTAACATTGCACATATTACATGATTAATTGGCTCTCGCAATTTATTAATCAACATAGACCTAACAGGCTTTCGCAATTTACTAGATCTAAGTTCCTATTGAAAATAGTCCATATCAAATTAACATCTGCTTGATTCATCAATTCAATATTGCTATATTTTTACAATCGAATCACATCTGCTCAATTTATAATCTAATTGTAAAGAATTAAAAGAATTCAATAAGAAATTATCATGCATTATCTACAATCAACAATAATAAATTATCCCTTCATATTAATTATGGATTTCCCAATTCAAAACCCTAGAATTAAATTACTCACACATAATTAAATCTAAACTAATCAGAGTAATTAAAGAAAACATGATGAAATAAAGAAAGAGAAATATTGAAAGTAATAGAGAATAAATCGTTACCAAATTAACGTCAAACAAAAAGTTGAATCAAGAACAAGAGTGAAGTTGTAGAGAGAAATTAAGAAAGAGAAAATAACTTAGTAGAGAGAGAAAGTCTAAGAGAAGAGGTACTAAACATCAAGCATTAAAATTGTATTTATACAAAAACTTATAATTACTCCTAATTATAACTAAGAAGTTCGCTGAAAAGAGCTCCTCAGAAACGCGCGCCGGATCGGGCTCGCCTTTTTCTTCGCCTCCTTGTTTTGGGCATCCGCCTGATCGGGCTAAAGCTCGCCCGATCGGCCCCGGCTATAGGCTGGACTTGGATTGGACTTCATTCTTGGCCCAATTCGAATCTCCACTTCGGGTCTTGAATGCTCGATGTCCAATGCAATCGGTCGTGCCTTCAAATTCTCTTAGTTGTTCCGCAATAATCCCGGGAAAAAGCTCCAAAGATGCAATTTCCTACAAAACTCAACTTATACTACTAAACACTAGAAAACACCAATTAGTAATAAAAGTAGCTCTAAAGAGCCAAAAATACTGTTAATATATATATATATAACCCAAACTTTGATATGATTTTGCTTTTAATGGTCTCAAGTGACCATTAACTTGTTTAAAAGGTATTTTTATTTTTTTAAAAAATGTAATGTACACATGTCACAATATAATTGGTCAAAATAAGTTATAATTTTAATTTTATTTAAAAAAAGAATATTAGTAATTTTTTTAAAGGATTAGATTATTAGTAATAATTTATAGTTAACTAATTATTTTTTACAAAATTAAAAGATAAATATTTTAAAAATAAATGCAAGAAACACCAATAGGAGCCACTGTACCCTCCCTGCCCTACACCCCCGCGCCTGCCCCCACGGCAGTGACGCTTAGACTACCTGAACCGCATACAATCTTTCCGCCGATCGCTCTCTTCCCGCTGCGACCCCTTATTGCGACCATAACCCTTCCCCCACAACCCCTTTTTGCAGTTAATTACCCCCACTCGTAACCCCATCTATAAATACAAAACTAGAACAATTTAAGAAAGTGGTTGGGTTTGGGTGGGATTAGCTGAATGGGCATAGGAATTGCGGTGCGCGGGCCGGTTGAGGGGTCGTAGCTAGGGGTGTAACGACAAGGGTAAGGATTGAGGGTGGGTTCTTTTGTTGAGGAAGTGGATTCGAGGTAGGGAGGGGCTATCGGGATGGAGGGAAGAGAAGGGAGGTGGTCTCGCCAGCACATGGAGGGAATCCTGGCGTAGGATGGAGGGCGACCAGGGCTGAGCGGCGGGGAGGGTGATTGGGCTGGTGGGGTGGTGTTTGAGTTAAGTAAATAATTATTTTTTATTTTTCTTAAAAATATTCTTTAATTTTTTTAAAGGAAAAATACATTTTAATAATCCCAACTATTAACGATCTACTTTTTAGCAATCCCAACTAAGATTTATTATCTAATAATCTCAAGTATTGGGGTATTTTGCCTCTAGTAGTCCCAACCGGTCAACAGGTGCTCAATAACCTTCAATTACAGGTTACCAAACCACGTGTTAATACGTGATTTGTCTAAAAACATTTTTGAAAAATAAAAAGAAAAATACTTAGAAAAAATTGAAAAAAAAAATTTAAAAATTAATAAAAAAAAAAAAACAAACAAATACCACTCATCACGCTAGCCACCATACCCACGCCCAACCTGACCCCCTTGCCTTCAGCACCGATTTTTTTTAACCGTCGGAAACACCCAACCACTCACTCCCCTAGCCCCCACCACCGATTCTCGACTACCCCTCCCTTATCCCAACCCCAAAAACCCACACCACCGATTTTGCACCTCCTTCCTTTCCGCACACTTCATCAAATACCCGAATCTCGTTAGGAGGGGAGATCGATTAGTCAATTTTGGGGGAAGGGTGTGGTCGGAAATCGGTGGTGGGAAGTGGGGGTGGCTGTGGCGGGTTTAGCTGTAGATCTAGGTGGGGGGCTGATTTCCAAAGTGGGGGTAAGGACAAGAGGTCAAAAAATAGTGGAGGGGAGGGATTTTGGTGTCTCGGGAGGGGTGGCAAGGAGGCCAACCGACCGTTTTGGAGGGTTTAGGGGTAGGCCGACTAGTTTCCAGTGGGGGTTAGAGGTGGCTTGGTTTCACGATGGGGTTAGGAGTGGTTGTGATGGGTTTTTTTCTTCTTTTTTAAAAAAGGTTTTTAAAAAATTTGGAGCAATCATTTGCTAATACGTGGCTTTTTTTTAAACAAAAAAAAAACAAAAAGAATTACCGTTTAAGCAGGTTACCGATAATTGGGACTACTCAAGACAAACATATCTAATAGTTAGGATTATAAGATAACAAATCTTAGTTGGAATTATTAAAAGTAAATCAATCATAGATGGGATTATTAAATTGTATTTTTTTCTTTTTAAATTTTTTTACCAATCATATGTCGACACGTGTTAAATAACTTGTTATAACAAATTAGATGATCGATCGAGACTATTGGAATCAAATTCATATGAAAGTTCGAAATTTTAAAAATAATTCAAAGTTTTCCAATTACAAATAAGGTTTTGAAATGTTAGTCTAACTAGAATCGAAGTCCAAAATGACAATATAGTACAAAAACGTAATCACTATTATCCACGGACCACGGCTCTATATTCCATGTGTTAATCGTTTAAACAAATCACACTACACAAGAGTCAAAGCTTTATAAATAGTTACATGACACTGCTTACATTTTATTTCAACTTAAAATTCAGTTTCTCTCTTCCTCTCTCCTAAATTGGTAAGAAAATGACAATGAAGGATGAAAAAGTTATGATTAGCCACCCTCTTTTGGAGAATCATTTGGAGGCCAACAATATATCTTTAACAGAACCAGGCAATTCCTCTTTCTTGAAGACTTTCTTCAACGGCCTTAACGCCCTCTCAGGTTTATCACCTTTGAGTTTACTTTATTTCTCGGTTTTTTTTGGAATAATGATATATGTAGCCTGTAAGGCTTTACATAAGTATTAAACATACTTTTTAAAATAAAATTAAATTAGAAATTTATGACAAAATTATGCACAGATTGATGTAATTAATATTAATTTATTCTTAATATTTTCTTTTTTACCTTCTTATATATAGGTCTAAGGGTTATGTTTATTATTTTTTTTTCTTTTTTATTACACCATTTATAAGTTTAGGAGGATTAGTGTACATTTAATACATACTACTCGTATTAAAATTTTGTCTTTGAAAGCATATATCCAGACGAATCTTACAAAATATCTCATAACTATATTCTATTTAACGTATTATGAAATATAAAAAAAAAAAAATATAAGTGTGCATATATTATAAGGGAATGAAAAAGAACAAGTCAAAAGATATCTATACTATTGTGCAATAGTTTATACACTATTAAAGTGTTACTCGTAGCTCCTTTAATAAGATTCTTACGATTAAAGAGATATAAGACTTGAATTGTGACCAAGTGAGGTTTTTGGGAGTACCCCTCAACCTTAAGTGTTTGGCCTGTAAATACTTAACCAAAAAAAATACGAGAGTTGAATTCTTGTTTTTGTAAAAGTATTGTGCAATAATTTTAATATAGGATTCATTACCCCCATTAACTTCTTCCCAAAATAGGATGATAGAGGATCCAATCACTTGTAATTGAACTACTTTTCTATCTAATACAAATTCAATTCTCTAATGTCTTTTCTTATAATTCTACTGTAATTATATCAGGGATTGGAATACTATCAGTACCATATGCACTAGCTTCAGGTGGATGGTTGAGCCTGCTATTACTTTTTATTGTAGCAATGGCTGCATTCTACACAGGCTTACTTATAAAGCGATGCATGGAAGACGATTCGAGTATAAGAACTTACCCTGACATCGGAGATCGTGCATTCGGAAAGATTGGAAGATTAATAACATCAGTGTTTATGTGCACAGAGTTATACTTGGTTGTAACAGGTTTCCTGATCATGGAAGGTGACAATCTGCATAACCTCTTCCCTGAAATGAAATTCGACGCGTGTGGACTGAATATTGGAGGAAGAGAGAGCTTTGTGTTGATTATTGCTCTTATTATTCTTCCTTCGATTTATTTGGATGATCTGAGTATTCTTTCTTACATATCTGCTGCTGGTGTTATCGCATCTGTTGTGATAATCATGTCCATTTTTTCTGTTGGCACGTTTGATGGAATCGGGTTTCACAGTAAAGGGGAACTCCTAAATTGGTCAGGCATTCCTACAACTGTTAGTTTATATGGATTTTGTTATTGCGCTCATCCTGTTTTTCCTAGCTTGTACAACTCGATGCAGAAAAAACATCAATTTTCAAAGGTATAATTTCTTATGTTCATCTTTTACAACATTGAATAAGGCTGATAGTATCTCTGTTTCTTATTATTTGTGAGACATAAAATATTTCTTTGTTGCATATCATAAGAAACATAGATAGTATATATTATGTGCATGAATCTAAATGGTTGTTATTTTTAACTTGTCTGCAGGTACTACTTCTCTGTTTCCTTTGCTCAACTATTGGTTACGCGTCCATGGCAGTCATCAGCTATCTGATGTATGGTACAAAAGTAAACTCTCAAATAACTCTGAATCTTCCAGTTGAGGCATTGAGCTCTAAAATCGCAATTTACACTACATTGGTGAATCCCATGTCCAAATATGCACTAATGTTAGAACCTGTTGTGAACTATACCGAAAGCTTGTTCCCAAATCATCACAAGAAAAAGTACATTAAGTTTATGTTGAGGACTGGTTTGGTTACTAGTCAAGTAATTGTAGCATTGGTTGTTCCATTTTTCGGGTTTCTTATGTCTCTTGTAGGAGCATTTTTAAGCATTACCGCGTCAATTATACTTCCTTGCTTGTTTTACTTGAAGATTTCAGGCAAATGCATAAGAAGAGGCGAGGGGCTATTAGTGTTAGGCACTGTATCGTTTAGTATATTGATCGCAATATTTGGTACTTACACTTCTTTGGTAGACATTATTCGAGAAAACGTGGTAGGTTATAACTAACTTTTTTGATATACGATGTACAATTCAATCTGGTATTGTATATTATCGTATCTTTGCCATTATAATACTTAAAAACTCTGCAAAAATGAGAGACTTGTAGTCTTGTTTACAACTAAGTGTCTACTCTATTCAGCTTAATTTCAGTTTAGTTTAGTTTAGTTCAGTTCATTTCATTTAAGTTTCGTTTCTAATTTCCTTCTCTTATAAACAATTTAGTTTAGCTTAATTCATTTTAATTCAGCTCAATTCAGTAAATCAGAATAGACTCTAGTTCAATTCCCTCCTAATATACGGAAAATTCCATGTTTCTCATGGTGAGAAACTCATAATGACATTTTCGTGAATAAATCAACAACTTTCTCATTATTGTGGGCTCCACAATTAAATAAAGTTGTTGATTTATTTACGAAAATGCCATGTAAAAAATAAAATTTATTTTTCACCATGAGAAACTGTGGCATCCTCCTATACTTAATTTCTTGTTTTGTATATTCAAATATGTGACAAATGGAATGAACAATTTCAAGTACTATTTTTTATTTTTTTTTACAGAACAATTTCAATACTGTTCAATCATTAAAGGCTCCCGGACCCCATGATAGCTTCATTATAGAGAAACAAATTAAATTGGATTTGAATATAAGACTATATGGATATGGTCAACAATTCTTCCTTAAAATCACAATCTATCCTTAAAGAATGCACATGGGAACTAACCATAGAGTTGGTTGAATTATACTCACAAAAATCTACGTCAAAAGTAACCACTTTATCATCAATTATTGTTGATTAAAAGAACATAATTTGTCCATCCAATCCAAAATTCAAAGTGTTGGCTCACTTGGTTAGTTTCATATTGTTAGATAATATGAAACTCCTCAAATTGGAGTCAATTCCATTGATCTCAATATATAGGGTTAAAAGAGTGAGTCCTAATCAGCTTAGGAAATCTCAAAAGATAATTACACAATATATACAAAATATATCCAACGCTAACATAATATCTAGAATAGTAATCCTATATTCTATCACACCCCCGCAGTCGTAGCGAGAGAAGGACGTACGTTAAGAGCGGACCTGAAATCCATAAAGAGTTGTCGAGGTAGGCCTTTCGTGAAAATTTCTGCAAACTGTTATCAAGAAGGAACGTGTAATACCCGTACGTGCCCCAACGTCACCTTTTCCCGAACGAAATGAATGTCTATTTTGACGTGCTTGGTGCGTTGGTGCTGTACGGGAATGTGAGATAAATAGATTGCACTGACATTATCACAATAAACTATAGTAGCCTGCCGGAGAGGACAATGTAACTCTAAAAGAAGATTGTGGAGCTAACACGCCTCATAAACAACATTAGCGACGCCCATGTATTCTACCTCTACACTTGATTTAGAGAGAGTATGCTGACGCTTAGAGGACCAGGAAATAAGGTTGTCACCCAAAAAGAAACAATAACCGGAAGTGGAGCGACGAGTGTCTGGACACCCGCTCCAATTTGCGTCAGTATATGTAATCAAGTTTTTAGGAGCCGAAGGATATAAATGTAACCCATGATACATGGTACCCTGAATGTATTGCAGAATACACTTCAATGCATCATAATGAGCCACTTTGGGATCATGCATGAATAAACAGACCTGATGAACTGCATATGCTATATCAGGGCGAGTAAAAGTGAGATACTATAAGGCACCTGCAAGACTGCGATAGAATGTTGGATCATGAAACTGAGGTCCGACATCAACACTAAGTTTGGATTGAGTATCCACTGGAGTCTGCGCAGGTTTGCAACTGCTCATACCTGCACGTTCAAGAATTTCCTGTGCATACTTTTGCTATGACACAAACAAATATGAGAGAGTACGTGTAACATCAATACCTAAAAAATAATTCAATGGACTTAAGTTAGTCATCGGAAACCCTTTCTGCAAGCGTGAAATAATACTCTCACGCAATTTATCTGAGGAAGTAACTAACACAATGTCATCAACATATAGCAACAAATATGCCATACCATTCCCATGTCGGAAGATGAATAGAGAATTATCCATTTTAGCAATGAAAAACCCCATCTGCAAAAGATAGTTAGCAAAACGCTAGTACCAAGCCCTTGGAGCTTGTTTGAGGCCATACAAGGCCTTACGAAGTTTGCAAACATAACCTGAAAATCTCTTGTCAACAAACCCAAGGGGTTGATGCATATACACACACTCATTCAATTCACCATGTAAAAAAGCATTTTTTAAATCAAGTTGGTGAATAGACCACTTACGAGCCATAGCCAAACTCAACACCGTTCGAATAGTCGTCGGCGTAACAACGGGACTAAACATTTCATCACAGTAAACACCTTTAATCTGAGACCTTCCATCACAAACTAAACGAGCTTTGTGTCTTTCAAGATCACCGTTAGCTTTTAATTTATGACAAAACAACCACAAACAATTGACAATGTTCACCCCCGTAGGCCTTGGAACCAAATCCCATGTCCCCGTTTCAATTAAAGCACTATATTCATCACGCATCGCAATATTCCAATTTGATTAAATTTGATTGTGATTCTCCTTGTTAGCCATTCATAGTGAAACCTAGCTTGGTTTATAGGAGATAACTTTTGAATTCCTTTGATTGCAAATATTGTTTGTCCCTTGCAATGTTTGAATCAATTGAGTGATCTATCAATTAGCATAATCATTGAGCTTGCATGTGGAACCTATATCCCTTGTGTTTAGCATATTGATCGAATTCTTTGATTTGTCTTGATTCTTGATATCCTAGTTACCAACCTCAACCATTGATATTCTTCGATTTAGCTTGATAATATACTATAGCATAGTTCCTACTCATTCCTTTGGGTTCAACCCTTGACTTACCGCATACTTGTATAAGGTTTGTTAAGTGTTTATAAATTTAGTTTGACCAAGGGAGAATTAGATGACGACCTAGTTTTTCCTCTTTTCAAAATGGCGTCGTTGCCGGGGATTGACATTAGTGCTTTGTTATAGCTGTTGAGTCTATTTCATTCTAAAAAAAACAAAAAGATTTTCCTCTTTAAGGCTACACTTGTATCCGTGCTACTAATCATTTCTTTTGAATTTGTATGCATAAAGCACGTGGTCATTCACTAGTGCCATTTGATCCGGAGATTGAGAGGACTATTAGAAGACTAAGGGTTGCTAGGCGATCTTTGAGCTCTAGCATTTCAAGTGAATAAGAACCGCAACAAGGAGAACAAGCAAGAATGGGAGAGAATCCGAGAGTGGCATTGAAAGAATTGGAGATTCTCGGTGCATATAGATTTGAGAGTGGAATTGCTCCACCTACAACACCGGCAACTGATTTTGTAATTAAGCCGGCTATGATCACTTTGATAGAGAGGTGACAATTTAGTGGAGCCAAGCATGAGAGCCCGCTAAATCATCTCAAGGAGTTTGAAAAATATTGCAATACTATAAAGGTGAACGGAGTCTCCTAAGAATTCATCCGCCTCAAGCTCTTTCCTTTTTCTCTCATTGGGCGTGCTTTGGAATGGCTAGACAAGGAGGTTAAGCCGAATTCTCTAACGACATAGGACGATGTTACAGAAGAAGTTCTAACCCGTTTTTATCCACAAAAGAAAATGGCGGAGGCAAGAGCTAGTATTCAAGGCTTTAAACAAAAGCCGAGTGAGAGCCTCTATGAAGCGTAGGAGAGATATAAGGAGTATCAAAGGGAGTTTCCTCACCAAGGAATTCCAACCTATCAAATTATTCAAATTTTCTATGGAGGCCTAGTCCCCAAGGAAAGTCATGCCTTGATGGAGGAGCCGGAGGTCCCATCATGGATAGGACGGAAGAAGAAGTGGTAGACATCATTGAGGATGTTTTGAGGTACTATAGAGATTGGCAAGATAGTGAGAGAGAATCAACTAGAAAGAGTAGATCTTCGGTGTACTCGGTTGATCATTTAAATGCAATCAACAATCTCTCCTCACAAATGACAAACTTGGGGAAGGAAGTGATAGCAATCAAGAAAAAATTGGAGAGTTCTTCTTCCCAAGCTCCAATTCTTCCCTCCCAATTTAAGGGGAGAGGTACTCCTTCAACTCTCATGCCCCTCCTTCTTCTAGTAACATGCCTAGTGGTTGTTTGTTTTGTTATGTGTGTGGTTCATATGATCATGATGCTACTAATTGCCCTCATGCTTTTCCGGATGGTAATGATGATTTTGATAATAATGAGAGTGAACATGTGAACTATGTGTTAAACAATAATAATGTTCAAAGGTTTGATAACCAAAGGGGTCAATGGAATAGGAACTACCAAAACCAGGGTAAATTTGACAACTATAACCAAGATGGTGGTTATAGGAACCAAGGTTCTCGAGGTAACTATATAACAATCAAGGTAATAATACCCAAAATAAAACCCAAATTATGGTAATCAAAACCAAGGCCAGGTATGGAAATCACAATCAAGGTGGTGGTAACCATAATCAAGGTTATGGTCAAAATCAAAATAGGGGTAGTTGGAACAATCAAGGGAGAGGCAATTTTCAAAATAATGCTCAAAGAGGTCCTCCACTCGAGTTTGCTCCAAAGAATCAAGTTGATAATTCCTATTCACAATCCTCTTCCTCTAGGACTAATTTGGAGGAAATCATTGAAAATCAAACAAAGTTGTTGAACACTTACATGGCCGTAAGTGACAAGAAATTTAATGAGATGATGACTCATAATAAGATGCTTGAAAACCAAATTTCTCAACTTGCCAATGCTTTGAAAGACCATGCTAGTCCTTCTTCTTTACCTTCCCAAGGCTTAGATCCCAAGAGACTTGTGAATGTTATTGTTACAATCTAGGAGTGGTAAGGTTCTTGAGGAGAGTTTGCCTAGGAAGAGTGGAGTTAAGGAGGTCCCCAAGGAGGTCATGGTAGAGGATGAGAGAAATGGTGCATCTTTGAGTGAGGTTGATTGAGACACCTAGAGAGGTGAAAGTAGAGAAAGAAATTGTGAAACCCAAGCTTCCATATCTACAAAAATTCATGAGACATAAGTTGGATGAACAATTTGGAAGATTTATTGACATGCTTAAGCAACTTCACCTTTCTCTACCTTTTACCGAAGTTGTCACCCAAATTCCCAACTATGCAAAATTCCTCAAAGATATTTTGAGTGGTAGGAGGACTTTTGATGTGGTGGAGACGGTCAACTTGACCGAGAATTGTAGTGCAATTATAATGAACAAGATGCCACCCAAGTTGAAAAATCCCGGAAACTTCTCTATCCCTTGTGCCATTAACAAGATGCAAATTGATAATGCCTTATGTGACTTAGGAGCTAGTGTTAGCTTAATGCCATATTAGGTTTATCAAAGACTTGAGTTAGGGGAACTTATTCCTTCCAAAATTACCTTGCAATTGGCCGATAGGTCAATGAAGATTCCTAAGGGGAAGGTGGAGGATGTTCCTTTGTGAGTAGGGAAGTTTGTAATTCCGGTAGATTTTGTGGTTCTTGAAATGGATGAAGATTCTACCATTCCCATTATTATTGCTAGACCTTTTCTTGCTACCTCGGGTGCTATGATTGATGTTAAGAGTGCAAAATTTCACTCTAGGTAGGAGATGAGGTCATTGAATTTGACTTGAATGAAAGCATGAAGTATCCATGTTCTTCTTTAGAAAATTGCATGTTGATTGATTCTCTTGATCTTGTTGTATCTTCCATGCATGAGCACTTGCTCACTTATAATGATCCTCTTGAGAATGTCTTGATGAACAAGGATAAGATAGGTTCTCCTATCAAGGAAATGGCAATGTATGAGGATTTGCTAAATGGAAGCATTGAGGAAGTGGATGAGCATATGTGCATGAATATCTCAAGCCGCCAAGAAGCTTTGCAAGCCGCCACTTCAAAGGAAGATAAAGGTGTACCAATGGTTGAGCTCAAACCTCTTCCATCACACCTTAGGTATGAATTTTTGGGACCCAACTCTACTTTTCCCGTGATTGTTAGGTCTTCTTTGAGTGAGCACCATGCTCGAAAGTTATGTAATGTTTTGAGAAAACATCAAGGTGCTTTAGGATATACCATTGATGACCTCAAAGGTATAAGCCCCACTTTGTGTACATATCACATAACTCTTGAGGAGGGTACTCTACCATCCATTGAGAGGCAACGAAAGCTACATCCCCAAATGGGAGAGGTAGTGAAGAAGGAGATCACCAAACTTTTAGATGCGGGAATCATATTCCCCATTTCTAATTCTAGGTGGGTTTCTCCCGTTCACGTTGTCCCAAAGATGGGAGGTATGATTGTCGTTGAGAATGAGAAAGGTGAGCTCATTCCAACGAGGACGGTCACGGGATGGAGGATGTGTATAAACTATAGACGTCTAAACACATCCACAAAGAAAGATCATTTCCCCCTTCCTTTCATTGATCAAATGCTTGAAAGACTAACGAGGCACAAGTACTATTGTTTCCTTGATGGTTATTCGGGATTTTTCCAAATTCCTATTCATCGCGATGACCAAGAGAAAACTACTTTTACTTGTCCCTATGGTACCTTTGTCTATAGGAGAATGTCATTCGGCCTTTGCAATGCTCCTGCCACTTTCCAACGGTGTATGATGAGTATCTTTGGAGACATGTTGGAGGAGGAGATGGAGGTGTTTATGGATTACTTTTCCGTAGGTGGAGTTTCCTTTGAGGCGTGCCTTGAAAATCTTGAAAAGTGTTTGGCAAGGTGTGAAAAAGTGAATTTGGTGTTGAATTGGGAAAAATTCCATTTCATGGTTGAAGAAGGAATAGTACTCGGGCACAAAATTTCTCACAAGGGCATAGAGGTGGACAAGGCAAAGATTGAGGTTATTGAAAAGTTGCCACCTCCGGTTAATATGAAGGGTGTGCAATCATTTTTGGGCCATGTCGGGTTCTATAGAAGATTATCAAGGACTTTTACCTCATGGAAAAGCTCCTCAATGATCATCTTCAAAAAGATGTCGATTTTTTATTTGATGATAAGTGTTTGGAGGCATTCAATAAGTTGAAGAAAGATCTTATCTCTACTCATATTGTTCAAGCTCCAAGATGGGATTTACCATTTGAGTTGATGTGTGATGCAAGTGATTTTGCAATAGGAGGTGTCTTGGGTGAAAGAGTGGACAAGAAGCTTCATGTGATCTATAATATATCCAAGACTCTCAATGGAGCTTAATGGAATTACACTACAACGGAGAAGGATTTCTTGGCTATAGTTCATGCTTTTGAGAAGTTCTGTTGCTATCTATTGGGTTCCAAGACCATAGTCTTCACGGATCATGCGGCTCTCAAGTATCTTTTTTCCAAGAAACAGTCCAAGCCAAGGTTGATCCAGTGGGTTCTTGAGCTTCAAACCTTTTACATTGAGATTAGGGATAAAAGAGGAGCGGAGAATGTTGTGGTGGACCATATTTATCGTCTAGATGATTCTAAAATTCATGATGATGGTTCTCCAATTGAGGATAGGATTCATGATGACTTTTTATATGCTATTGAAGAAAAGGAGCTCCCATGGTTTGCCGATTTGGTGAATTTTCTTGCATGTGGGGAGTTTCCTCCTTCATTTTCTAAGAATCAAAGAAAGAAGCTCAAGAGAGAGGCAAGGCATTATGTTTGGGATGATCCCATCTTATACAAGTGAGGGGTCAATGGCTTACTTAGACGATGTGTGCCAAACGAAGAGGTGCCTAATGTTTTGAAAATGTGCCATTCGGATCTAAGCGGGGGCCACATGGGTGTATCTAAGACCTCCACTAAGGTCCTTCAATGCGGTTTATGGTGGCCACATCTCTTTATGGACTCATGGGGATTTATAAAGACATGTGACCAATGTCAAAGAGTTGGTAACATCTCCAAGAGAAACGAAATGCCTCAACAACCCATACTCGAGTTGGAGGTGTTCTATGTATGGGTGTAGGGAATAAATTTCAAGCGTTAACCCCTAGCTTGAACCCCATTGTGATCATACACTAAAGTACGGTGGCGTCCAAAAGGGAAGAAGATAGAGCAAAAGAGTCTCCAACAAGTTGTAGGAACTTGTAAACCGTTCACAGGGTGAAGATTACACCCCTTAACGATCCAAGAGATCGTCAACTCCATAAGGTCTAGAACCAAATAAGGGTTCGGGGATGAAGGTACAAATCCAACCTAAAAGAGATTGAACCTTCCCTAATAATAGGCCTCTACTTTATTCTGATCGTATTCATGTGCGCTTTTTAATTAACATGCAATCAATAGGTTATCCTAAACCTGTTTATCTATGTTGGTTGAATATAATGCACAAATAAATCTATTATTGGCGATCACTTGAATTATAATCAAATTAACCCTAAACAAGATTATTAATTATCTTATTAAGCATGATTACAAGTGCAAATTTCCTTTAAACATGCATAAAAGGCGTGATCAAGCAATAAAAAATAAATATCAAGCAACATAATAATAATAATAACAATCATTATAATAATCATAATAATAATCACTACAACAAATTCACCTTTGTGCCACGAGTAAAATCGTGGCACAAGTTTAAAATTCTCGTGGCAATGTAGTGTAGCCACGGGAATTTTTAAATTTACTCTTGTGACACAAGAGGCCGTGGCTAGGAATTTTCCACGGGAAAATGGATGTCGTGGCAAATTTCGAATTTTATGCCACGGGTATGTAACGTGGCAAACAAATTCACTTGCCACGAATATTAATGTGGCTAACAAGTTCTTTGCCACAAATTCTACCGTGGCTAATAAACTTAGTTGCCACAAACATTACCGTGACCAGTAATCTTCTTTGCCACAAATATTACCGTGGCTAATAAACTTTGTCGCCGCAATATACTGTAGCTAATTATTTATTTGCCACAAATAATACCGTGGCAAATAAATCCATTGCCACATTACTATCGTGACAAATAATATCATTTTACACTAATGAGTACGTGGCTAATAATTTCAATGGGCATAAGCTTTAATTTGTTGCAGCATTTATGGTATACGCATAACTGAATATTAAAGATGGAGTTTTTCTCAAATATGTCATATTTGTCATTCTTGAAATCGATATATAACATTAAAAAGGTGATATTATGTCTTGGAATCCCATTCATTCAAACATACTTGAATTCGATATCCATACATACAAACATACTAGAAATCAATTGTCTCATTGTCTCATCACTAGCTCACTCTTACTAAAATAAATAAAAAATAAAACACTCAAATCGTTTTGCTGAAGAACAATATACTCTTTATATATGTACAATGTGACAATATGTGTGTGCTCCGCTCCTTGTTACCTACAATGAATAAATAGATAAATGATCAAGTTAATATTTTTTCAAAAAGAGCACCAAAAAAAGGATATGTTTTCAAAATGAAAAAGTCAAATTGACACAAAATATAGAACAATTAACTTTAAGCTCATAAATTATAACAACTCGCACATGGCAAAATTCTTTAATGTCTAACTACTGCTGCTATAACAGGTGAATAATGTATATCAGGTGAATAATGTTTAACCACTTTAAGTTCATAAACTTATATCTAAGATGAATCATGTACCAATGAATAATGTATAACAGGTGAAGATAGCATTACTTACTTCATTCCTTTGAACCTTGACTTCCTAAATCATCAGAATCTGATGAACTTCCTGCTCCAAGAAAATCCAGAAGTTGACTAAACTTCTTCTCCCAAACTGCATTATTATCAGCAATTTTTCTGTCCACGTCATTCTTAACAGCTTCCGCCTCTTTTTTGGCTTGTTCAGCTTCTATTTTAGCCTGTTCTGCTTCTGTTCTAGCAGTTTCAGCTTCTTTTCTTGCATCTTCAATTGCTTGATCTGCTTTCTTTATAACTTCATTCACCTCTTGAGTAAGATCAATTCGAGAGGGCTTTACTTTAAAATGTTGTGTTATACTTCTACCAGGTCCATGAGCTTTCAAATACCCATGTGTATCTTTGCCAAGCACATCCTGAATAATTTGCTCATTTGTTTTCTCATTAAGACCTTGCTCTCTTTTTTCCTTTAATTTGTTTATCTCATCCTATGAATAAACACTATTAAGTTAGAAGATAAGATGGTAAATGTTAAATAGAAAATAACAAACATAAAACTTATAAACTTACTACTGCATGAGTGTTATTTGCCAAATTGATTGCATTCACAACCTTCTCAGATTTTCTTGTACGAGTTGCAACCAATACATCAACTCGAGAACACTTCCCGCCATTCTTCTTCTTCTACAAACATTACAGAGTTTTTAGAATCAAATTACACTCCCAATTATTGTACGTTTGCATATTTTGAATAAGTACGAGAATTACTTCGTAAAATTTTTAGTGGTTTAGAAGCTAATGACATTTAGTTATGTCCAACAGAATTTAAATTTCCATGTGTCAAGAATTCAGCTAATAAAAAAAAAAATTCAGCTGGTGTGCAAGTTTTGTTGGATAATAAGGCCTACAGACCCTGAAGCCTACAAGCTACTGCTCCTTGATTTTACTATTGAAGAAAAAGTATGATTGTTTAGGTATAACGTCAAAGTGATACCTGACCCCTCTAGGATGTCATGATCATACGTACAAAGGAAGTAAAGGCTCCTACTGTACTCTGATCGACAAAATTAGTCTGATCAAAGCGTTTTCCTACCAGTCAGCATAATATTGCGGAGCATAAAGTCTAGCTTCGCAGCAGTGAGCTGCCGCCGAGTTTGATGCAAAATTTTATAGCTTGTGTAGAGGATGTAAGAGCAGAAGAACTCCCACAATTCAATAAGTGGGTAAAGGACAATAAATTCAAAGTCAAATTCTTCAGTTTGATAAGATTTCAAATCAGCTAAGAACTGCAGCAGCTAGCTCAGGTTATTATAACATTGATGACTCTTGCAAATTAGCAAGGTTTGTCAGCAAAAGAAATCAGAATTTTCAGCAAGACAGTAAGATTTTTCAGAAGAAAAATCAATATTCTCACAAAATCTAAGCAGTAGTTTCAGTTTTTTCGATGGAAAATATGAATTTCAGCAAGGAAGAAAGCTTCTCAGAAGATAATTCAAGATTTTGGCAAAGCAGTAATATTTCTCAGCAAGAGAAACCAGATTTTTCACCAAGTCAGTCAGAGTTTAAGCAAGAAAATCGAAGTTTCCAGCGAAAATCAGAACTTTTTAGCAAGCAGGATAATCAAATGTTTCAAAAAACAACAAGATTTTCAAGAAGAAAAAGCTATATCCTTGCAAAATTTCAGCAGGAGTCAGCATTTCCAGCAGAAAAATGAGAATTTCAGCGAGGTTGTAGGCTTCTCAGAAGAAGAAATGAAATTTTTGCAAGGAAATAAAGTTCCTCAGCAAGAAGAATCTGATTTTTCAGCAAGTCAACCAGATTTTTTCAGTAGAAAAATTAAAAACTTCAGCAGGGAAATCGAAATTTTCAGCAAAAGTCAGAATATTTTCAGCGAGCGGAATATTCCGATGCTGTAGCAAGAAAGTAAGATTATTATCAAAGCAGTTCAGATTTTTCAGTAGAAAAATCAAAATCTCAGCAGATTTTTCAGTCGTGAATCATCAGTCTCCTTTAAGTCTTAGAACCACTGTAGCACCTCTAAGACTTAGGGGGCTAGATGCAAGGGAGCAACTCTACACTACTCCATCATTTGGGGGTTCTGTAATGTGGGATGACTCCCTCTGAGTCATATCACTAACAAATCCGGTTCTCACAACAAGCAATCCTGCCCCAAACACTGCTTCCGCTTAAAAAAAAAAAAAGAATTCAGCTGGTGTGTAAGTAGGGAGGGGATGCAGGTATGTGCAGGCAGGTGGCATCTGGCAGGAGAGGGTCGGGGCAGGTGTGCAGGCAGGGAGGGGGAGGGGCTGGTATGCAGGAAGGGAGGGGGCTAGTGTACAGGCAGGGCTTGTCTCATTAGTTTATTTAGTGTAGCCTTTTGAGCTTTTTGGAAAATGATGGAATGTAGTAAAGGTACTGATTAAGGCTTGATGTGACATCATAGATTATTGTAGTCCTACATAAGGCAAGAATCAAAAGTTAAAATTATAAAGAGTAGTTATTACATACAATTTCTTGTCTAGTGCAACCGAAGCTTTTAGTGCCATTATAGTGAGGCATCTTCTGTTGTGCCCTACTTTCACTTGCTTTTTTGCTCTTCTCCTACAATAAAAAGGATTTAATCAATAATATACGTTAATTATATAAGAATAAAGATATACTATATGTGTATTTTACCATAACCGCCTCTTCACTCCAATAGTCAACCAAGAACTTCCATTCCACTTTAGTCAGATGACTAGGCTTATTTTTGAGACGTTCTTCTTTTGTTTTCAAGTTTTTATCATTAAAGTACTTTGATTTCAATTTGCTCCTAGCACCTCTGAATAAACGTTGTGCATGTTTCATAACACACTCCCGCCTATTTTCAGGGTCATCAAATGACCACTTCTCCTGCAAAAGACAAAGATAAATTAATTATTGCTCATACATCAAGTTGACAATGTTTCATTGTTAATAAGAGAAAGAAAAACTCCATAAACATGTTTATTATGATAACATATTACCGTGATGCAAGCCCACAAATGGTCTAATGTTTCAGATTTATAATCGTCCCAACATTTAACTTGTACCGAACATATAGCTTTATTTCGAACTTGTTGACCCAAGAAGAAAGAAAATAATGAAGTCACTTGTAAGGTTGTGTAAGGTTGTTTCATACACATCCATGGAGGGAGATTGTACACAACAACCACTACTGGCCATATACTATAGTCACTTCTAAGCCCGCCAAATGGATTGAATCCATCACTTGCTAAACCCAACCTAACATTACGAGTCTCTGCAGAAAAAGTAGGATATTCTTTATCTAAATGCTTCCAAGCTTCACTATCTGCTGGGTGTCTAAGTACTCCGTCATCTTCTCGTTTATCAGAGTGCCACCTCATCTCATTTGCTGTTTTGGACGACATGAATAGCCTTTGCAACCTCGAAGTTAGTGGGAAATAGTGTAACACTTTAGGAGAAGCTTTATCACGCTTAGTATCGCATATGGAACACTTTTCAAGGTTAGCATTCTCTTTCCAAAATAGCATACAATCATTTTCACATGCTTCTATTTTTTCATAATCGAAACCAAGATTAGTAATCATCTTACGTGCTTCATAATAATTTGATGGCAAATCATCACCTTTAAGCAAAGCATTTTTGAACATATGAAGTATACTAGTAAAAGCTTTATTAGTCATGTCATCCATACATTTGATTTGGAATAACTTCAAAATGAATGACAATATAGAAAATTCATTACACCCGGGGTATAAAGTTTGTTAAGCATCTCTCATCAAATTTTCAAACATTTTTGCCTCTTTTGTATCCTTTTTATATCTAGGTTGATCAAACTCCTTAGGTTGTTGCTCAGCATCTAACATGTCATCTATGTCATCATTATTAGAAACTCCGGGACTAAACTTGTCATGGATCATTCTATATATATCATCATGAGCACTATCTCCCAAATAATTTCTACTTTTCTTTTGTGGGGGTTTGAATTCTCCATGATAGATCCAACGAACATAACCTTGCACGATTCCATTCACTATCAAGTCGGTGTAAATTTCGTCCCTTGTTTTATGTGGACCATTGTTGCATCGATTTGGTCTAGTCTGATTTGATTTAATAATTATCAAAACAAAATACAAAATTAACGATATTTAGCTATAAGTAAGTGATTATAAATTAAAAGTTCTGATCTGGATTTATTAAGGAATAAGTAATAATTATCTGAAATAAGTTAAAGAGAACAAGTCTATAAAACCCCAGTCGTTTGTAAGAAAAGTAGAGTAAGTAATTTCAATTATAACAATTGATTATTAATAAAAGATTAATAATGTTGATTTCTAACAAGTACACACACTATTATATTGTTTCCTATATACGTAGTATATATAATTATTATTGATTAATGGGTCAAAAACTAAAAATGATTTAGGTGAATAACAAAATTACCACATCATCATGTAATAACTAGATTTGGCAAATTGGGTATTCGGGACGAGTTTGGATCGGGTCAATAACTAAACTGCTTGTGAACTTCCGTGTATTCAAGCAATTAAACATTAGTGTTGAAAACAATGTAACATAAATCATTGCTATAAAGTCAAGTAATGATAAACATTATTATTTTTTCTTACAACTAAGATTTGAATATTTAATGAGGTTATTACATCAATTTATCATTTTACCTATTTAACTAAGGCCAAATAAAAAAATAGTCACAGAGTAACTTACTAGTTAATACTCCAAATACTATCTTAATAATCTAATAAAAGTTGACTAACAACATTATTAGAGCTGAGTAATATTAGCTGGTTGTTAAAACACGTTTTAACAACTTGATTCCAAATATTTTTATCTAGCCATACTCATATACTTGTAAGGGTTTTCAATTCGAAATGAACTATCTCGAAATAAAACTTGATACATTTAGAGTAAACCTAGTCATATTATGTACTTCCTCCGTTTTCTTTTACTTGCAACACTTCCCTAAGAAGGAAATGTCACAATACTTAAAACACACTATAAAAGGAAAGTTACTTTAGGGAAAAATTATACTATATCCCTTATTTAAAGCACATGACCCACTAAATTACACTCCTAACAATCACTCATCCTATTTTAAAGTTTATTATATCATGTAAACCCCACATTTCTTAATTACCGCGCTATAGGGTGTGTTGCATCTAAAAGAAAACGGAGGAAGTAATAGTTTAGTCTTTGGTCTAGCTAGCTCACTTCATATGCAGTTTTTCAATACTATTAAATTACATCATTTATATTTTACAAGACCACACAACTAAACTAATAATGTAATAAATTTTTATTACTTAAATAAAACTTTCCATCATATGTGTAATGCAAATTTGCAACTATGCTCATATATCTACTACTTTCTTTTTTTTTTTTTTTTTTTTTGACAAGTATATATCTACTACTCAATTGTTATGTAATTGTTTTACACTCAAAAAAATAAAGTAAAAAGTAGCAAGAAAGTTGTATACTAAAGTACAATTTTATAAATAAAGTATTTAACCAATAATTTTTTTTTTATCAATATTGCAATTCTACAAAATATACAAGTGAAATTTAGGAGGGAAAATTACCTCCATAAGCAATTAACCATACAACGTAGTTAAAATTTTAGGGAAATTCTCCCCTCTAAAAGAAGTCTTTGGCGGAAAAACTTCCTCCAAATACATGTAATTTATTAAAAAAAAAAAAAAAAAAAAAAAAAAGAAGGAAAGCCTACTCCCTCCTGTGTTCTTCAGTTCTTCTCTTCATGTTCCATTCTCTTCTCAATCATCTACTCTCTTCTCTACTGAAGTAGGAAATCTCAAATTATAGGTCATTTCTTTCTCTCCAAGATCTAAAATTTAATATTTCTCTGAAATTAGGTTTCTTCAAATCAATTTGGGGATTCTATCGGTTTAATTTATTTTTAACATAATTGATATCAATTTAGGGTTTCCATAGATTGTGATTTATTTTTAATCTATCACCATTTCCCATAGATCAAGAGATGGAGGAATTAGAATGAATTCGAAGATGAATCCTCGAAATAATAACAAAATTTGAGCTCCAACTCTCTTCCTTTTCTTCTTTTCAGATGACGCCGCCACTGACGCCACCGCATAGCGTCTTTCTGGCATATTGCGGTCGAATGGTATCAGCGATTTCGAGTTCAAAGTAGTCCGTTCTCATGAAGCTAGACGAGATCTCATATCTGCGCCATCCATTCATCATCTTTGTAAAAGCATTGTTTGGTAACACTCCTTTGTTTATTCATTTTATCATAATAATTCATTCAATTGATTTGAGAGTATAAATTTGCAATTGATTTATGTTACGTTTGGATACTCATAATTTAAATCCAATTCCAAAACATGGAAAATTTTGAAGTATCTGTAAAGTCTATTTATTTACTCCGTACAATATAAGCAATTAACAAATACATAGTACATCATCATTATAATTATGGAGTATTGTTTTATCAAGTTTTAGGACCTAAGAAAATGGGGAATAAAATTGAACAGTTGCACCTGAATTTTGTTTCTATCTATTCGACCTTAATCAGGCTGTTAACACACAATTGAGAAAATTGATTATTTTTTAAATTACAAATAATTTATCTTTAGATGTTGGAGTAGATGAAAGGTAAGAAAGGTTTATCAATGGCGGATCACGGGATAATGGAAGTTTTGGGTTGGTGTTACAGTTGGTGAGGAGAGATAATATTCATGTAATCTAGTGATTTATCACACATAATTAGTGTCTAGAATAATGGCAATGTACACCTAAAAACTTTCAACCATCACCAATTAGAGTACTATTTCTATATTCAATTTAATAGCTATGACTTTAAACATATGAAATTAGAAAAAATGGTCTGACATATATTCTGAACTATTATTAGTAGTTCTGGTTGCAAATAATAAAAGATATATATGCAAGGGTATTACTTTGCTTCAAGTGTTCAAGGGTATTGCTGGGATTGATGTTTATATATATGCATATACTCCCTTCTTTTAATTTTATTGTCCTGTGTTGCTCTTGGTCTATTTTCAAGTAATTGCTCTAGTTATCTATCATCACTCTATTTTCAAGTAATTTCCGTGGCATAATTCGTGGCACAAGAGTCAATTTGTTGTAGTGTCTTAAATCTAAGAAGCACTCTTATCATAGATCCAAGAAAAAAAAATACCCACGTGCAGAATCGGTTCTTATAAATGCAGGCCTTAGTTTCTTGAGAAAAGCGAGTCATGATATGAAATCAGCCCTGTGGTGAGGAGTTCATCCTTATTAAAAATTATTTGGTTAGCCAAGCTTGCATAGGATGCAAACAGGGGAAATAGCCACCCTTTAATAGTTTAATGCATCAGGCATAGGGTACAGGGACGTTAGTAGTTGTCATTTTAAAAACATGTATGATCATTTTCAGCTTGATGAACACAGGAAAAAACAAAATAGCAGTAATGTTGCGGTCTGTGGAGTGGAGCAGCTTTGCCTTTTCCCACATGACCTTGTCCATTGAGAGTTGAATCGATATACAAGTTTTTAAATTGGTCTGGTTACATTTGTTATAGCTAGTTTACTTAAATGAGGGATTTGCTGGTGCTGTGGATGGCATTGGAGATGTGTAGTTTCAGTTATTTAAGCGTTCCACATTTTACTTCAAGTTGCATATAATCAACTTAGTTTAACTTGTGGAAATGTGCTACATTATATCTAAGCACAAAGCCTTGGTGACTAAGTAAAGCACTAGAATCCTAATAATACAAGACTAAGAAACAAGATATATACATAATTGTTGTTTCCTAAACACACCAAGACTTTCCTTAATAATCGGATTTCTAGCATCATGTAACAAGAATTTTGGTTGCATCAGAATTTAGACTTGGAAATTCCAGTATATAAATAAACAAGAATTTCCATTACATATTTAAAAAAAAAAAGGAATTTTGACTTGGACTATTTGCTGCAGATGTTGAGGTAGTCTGGTGTCAGGAAGAGCCAATGAACATGGGCGCTTACAGCTATATTTCACCTCATCTATGTCCACATCTTTCGACAGAGGAAGTGCTGACGACATTGAGTATGTTGGGCGCGTTCCATCTGCTGCAACTGCTACCG